CTTTTATATCACGAAAAGAATTCTGAATAAAAATCAGGTCAAAATCATAGTTGAAAGACAAGTCATCACGAAGTAGTAACGTCATGCATCATCCTGAACAAGTAACTAACGATACCCGTCCAACATTCACACTCAATTTACGAATTCTAACGCGAGGTCTCGAAAAAAGGGGGAGAAAAAAAATGAAACTTGAAGCAACTGGTTGCGAAAACGAGGAGAACAAGGTCTCCTTGGAATATTCGGTGCGGAGAAAGAGTTCTTCAGAGATGGCGTTACGCCGAATTCTTTTCGAGGCTGGTGGAGGAGGGGTGGTGGAGGGATGATCTCGTGTTTGCGAAGTTTTCGAGGGTGAGATAGAAACTATGAGTGGGTGTTGCGTTGCTTTCAGCGATTTAAACGAGTAAGGATCTTTCTGTTATTCGTATATTGTGTATTACTGATGTTGCAACTAATTTTTTAAATATTTAAAAAAAAAGTAAGTATTAATATTAATTAACAAGTAAAGAATATAATTGCGACTAAATGTTGGATTAAATATGCGTTAGAAGAATGATCTTTGAGATAAAATTTCTTTATGCTTCTCCATTGTTAAGAAATCAAGTGAAATTTTAATTGGTCAGTTGAGAAATGGACAAAAATTTGAGAAAAGGAATTCATGTTCTTTGAGTTATTTTTCTATTTTGAATCATGTTTGTTCATACTTTTTCAAGAAATAGTCGTTATTTCTTGTTATAATAGTGTAACAGTGATATAATTAGTGTGAATAATACGCTGTGAACAAAGAAAACTTTAATTTTTTAAAAAATCTAATGTTTAGACTTCAATGTGGTCAAGATTATATTGACAGAGGAAAATGATTTGAATATTTTGTTACGTTGTACTTTGAAAACAATACAACGTGATTGCTTTAGGGAAAATTCATTCGAAAAGTTTTATTTTATCGTCTATTATTTATTTTACTGAAAGAAATAATAAACTGAAACATTTTTTTAACGAAACAATAAACAAACGAAAACAATTGTCAAACGTTTATTATTATTATTAAAATAATTGGAAACAAGACTCACAAAGAAATATTTATTATACAATAATTTAATAATCTATTTCTTTCTATTACATACACACGTATAAACAATTGTTGATAAAATTCTGTTCTGTTCAATTTTATAAAATTCTGATTAGTTTCATTATTTCAGTTGTTACAAAAACTACGTTCTAATTATGATATATTACTCTATTCTATTTTATATTGTTGCATACCATAATGGTTATATTTTATATTATAATTCATATTATTGTACTATCAATGCAATAACAAATTATTATATCAATTATGATAATATACATTCAATGACACGTTTGATATATCACAAACAAATATCTTCAAACGTGTTCAAAGGAAAAAAAAAAGAAGGACCAGTTTAAATTTCTTTGTATAAAGACACGTAAAGACTTCAGCCTACTCATCGATGGACAGAAAATGCACACGATACGAATACTTGAAAATGTATGAACAAATACAAAAGGAATACTTGAAAACTTCTTTCGTCGATTCATAATCTTCAGACATCAATCGAAATGGAAATAAGAAATATCGAATGTTTCAATCCTTTGAAAGGATAGATTTTGCTTTTTTAAAAGAACGAACAAATGAAAAAGTTTCAATCAATCATTTTAATTAAAATTTCAAATTAACTATTAAAATATTCTGAAAATTTTTCACTTCTATCAACTATTCAAAATAACAATCTACGCATAATTATTAAAAAAAAAGTATTGTTTTATATTACTTAAAATAAAAAAAATAAAATAAAATCTAATTTACACATTTACATTTAATTTGCACATTTATATTTGCATTTTATCATATAACATTCAAAAAAATTTGAATATTTTGCCTGAATCTTTTTCAGAATACACTGTAAAATAAATTTCACTATAAATTTCATCCAAAAGTTTATAATAATTAAATATTTTTCCTTAAAAAGTTTAAATAAAAAAATAACATCCGATTAAAACTGGACACTGGAGAATATCTAAATAATCTTTTTAATCTTTCTCTTGATCCTTAAACATCACCCCTCGCGCTTTCCTTAAAAAAAAAAAAAAAAAAAAGGAAAGAAATCAATTCTCAACTCCTTAATAAACTTATTTACACCGCGACGAAATAAACCCTCTCTAAAAACTTCACATCCCTTCTCCACCCCCGTGCAATTTCCTCATCCTCCTCCACTCGATCGTCAAGAAAAACACAACCAAATGTTTGATACTGTTGAGATCGGCCCTATAAAACTAACGAAGAACGATCAGAAGTGTGCGACTGCGAGATCCTTCGAGATCAACGGAGAGAAACGAGATTGGAACGAGGCGAGAAAAGAGAGACGGCAAGACCAGAGGAGTTCTCTAGTCTCAATTTTGAAAATTACGTTCCTTCGCTTATCTCCCAGCCAGCCAAGGACCTCGCATCTCTCAACCGTTTCTCGGCGTGAACCTGTTAAGTAGGAAGTAAACGAGCCGTCGTCACGGATGGAAAATTGTTTGTCGAGGGAAGGGGGCGGCGATTCAGGTGGACGAGGTATCGGGAAGCCGCGGCTTGAAAATCGTGGACGAGAGGGAAAGTGAGCCTGGTTTATTTACCTATACGGCCGACGTTGCGGTGGAACGTGTTTCCACCGCGCTCGATAATTTTATATACGAGGGGAGGGAAGGGAAGGCAGAGGGGGAGGATGTGAAATTTTTACAGCATCCGAAGAACGTGAGGGTATATCGGAGGAATCGGTGGCGTTTCTGTGCGGAATTTCGATACTTTTGGTGGAAGAAGACGCGTTTTGAATTGATGTTTCAGAGATTTTGAAAAAGTTGTGGAAAGAAGTATAGGATAGACGAATTTTAGGCAATAAATAAAATTAAGGTAGAAAGAAATGATAAGATTGAAAATATTATTGGACATTGTGGAGATACAGATGAACGATAACAAGCTTTAGAAGTTGATATTGAAACGAATAAGAGATTTTATATAATAGATTCGAAGTTAGAAATTTTTCATTCAGAAATCACGATTCACGGAGAATATAAACAAATTCTAAATATAAATTTCAACAAGTAAAATTATCCAGAAACAACATTTGAGTTTGCGACTTGAAAAGTGATTATTCCTTCGTATTTGGAGTAAATTTTGATTATATCTCCGAGTCATCTTCGAGCACATTGAAAAATCGAATTTCTTTTGATTATGAAGACACGAGAAACTATTTAATTATTGAAAATACAACGTCAAGTGAAGAATATTTCATATTTCTCGAAAATTAAGCTTGAGAAAAAAGATACTACGCATCGTTCATAAATGCAAGAATCGAAATCCTATCACTTATCTTTGTCGTCATACGATTCCAAGTCAATCGTCGATTCTTCATACAGATCCTTCGTATTTTACAGACACACGAAAATAAAATAGTCGCATAAAACGCGATTCGAACGAACAGCAAATAAAAAAAAATCCTTTTCCTTCCTTAAAGTACGATTTAAAACTCTTGCGAAACTATCAGACAGCTTAACGAAAACAAGGATCGAAGATTTGAAGTACTCTGCGAAGTTTAATCCTCCCAAATCCTGACAAACAAACTTTCTATAAAACGAGTTATACTCCCAACTTCGGAGAGTAAAACTGATGCCACTTAAACTGTAAAACTATAAAATATTTAATCACGAGAAAAGATACGTAACACGCATGTATTGCTTCAGATTTTTCAAAATAAAGAAATTTTTACCCGTCTTTTCATCTTTCTTTTATTACATTTTTAGATGTAAATAAAAGTGACGAGATAACATTAGATAGATCATGAAGAAGAAGAAATTTGGAATTCTATATTGCTCTAAAATTTTCAAAGAAAGGAATTTATTAATGTAATGAATTTCCATTGATGTAATACAAAATCTATATACAAAATTGATCACAAAATCAAGAAATAAAATCTTAGATGCAAAATTTATATTATTAATCTCTATTTTAATCTCTATTGGTATAAGATGAGTATATAATTAATAGAAACTGCTAATACGATTATGAATAGAAATGCTCCTATTCTATTTCAATATCTCAGAATGATCAAGTTTTACACTAATATCACTGATCATAATTCATTTGTACTATACAACCAGCATAGTACAGTAGAATTGATAACATAAGTACACTTTCAGAGTACTTAAACATTAAATCAGGAAATTTATAGAAGAAACATAAAATTTACATTACAAAAATATTATCTTCAAAATTTCTCATTATCACTTGTAATAAAACTAATAACCAAGTTTTGCTTTCCAAGAATACTCAATCAGAAAATTTAGAAAAAGACAAAATACAGAATTTTTGCGTCAAAAGAATTAAAAAATAAAATTAGTGTCTAAATTCCTATTGGTAGAAAATTTTTCACATAACTTATAAAACCACGTTGAAGAATCATGACTAAACGATATCAAAGATATAACCAAAAGAAACTACGAAAAAGGAGTCTACGCAGATTTTATTGCACACATATGTCCACGAATTCCAAGAAGAGCGGAGGATTGACCATCCCTTAAAATCCCACACTCGATAACTTTCGAAAACACTTATCTCAGTTTCCCCACAGCCACGCGTTTCCACGACTTTATGATCTAAAATCCCGCAATCTTCTTCCCCGTCCTTTTCATCCCACCCTAGATCCGCGAAGAAATATGTTCATCGCCGCAAAATCTTAATCAACCTCCTAAAATCCCCGTTGCGATGCGTAATCCATCCGACACTGCAACACTACAACTCCTATTTAAAATCACCGTGTGTATCCGCGTGTAAGCTTTATCGTTCCGGAAAGGAGCGACAAAGACAGGGGGGGAAGAAAGACAAAAAGAGAAAGAGAAAGAGAGAAAGAGAGAAATCTGCGTCTATCGGACACCTGGCGCGGCCAGGTATTCACGCGTGGCGATCTCATCACTGGAGCGAAAACAAGCAGCAAAAGAATTACATTCTACTGGATATCGTTGGATCACGGTTGGCATCCGGTTAACTCGGTCGCGCGCACTTGCCAGCCTCTTCCGTTGATCACTTATAGACTTATTCACCAGAACCGGGTTAGAACCGAGCCACGAGCAAAACCGGGCATATATCACCGAGTATATCACCGATCAGACGAACGAGAAGCGGGCAAGGAATGGAGCCGTGCGCACTCGGCGACCGCCGCGGCAAGACTGGGGTCTGCTACCCGGCCGGGGCAGCTGCCATGGCAACCCGACCACCCCCGAAACCCACGATCGGCTCTTCTCGCTCTTTCCTCGGCTTTCCGCAATCGTCGCATCCCTTTCCAACTCGCTGCACCTTTCGCTGCACACACTCGCTCCTCCGTCCTCCTCTGTTCGCCGAGCTTTCACGCCTGCTTCTTTGTCTGTTGTACATTGTTGTCCTGCTCGCACCTACGACTTTTCTCTCTCTCTCTCTCTATTTCTCTATCTATCTACATATCTCTCTTCTTTTCTCCTCCCCTCGCACGATGTTTCTCTCTGGAGCAGAGAGCAGAGCTGGCCTCGCGCAAGCTCCGATCGCTGCCGGAGGAAAAGTCGCAGAAGCTCGTGGCCTCCAGGAGAATCTCTGCCTTCAAGGATGATATTCTGTGTCCTCTTCTATGTAGAGTGGTGCACGCGAGCGCGCGTGCATGGACGCTTTACCGCGCGATTCTTATGATTCTTATGGTCGGTGATCTACTTCCGATGACACGTTAGAGTTTGACGATTTTGGATTTTATTGTATATGTATTGTATTGTAGTGATTCAGGTTTTAAAATATAGGATATCGTATCGTAAGAATTGGTATTTGTCTTTTTTTTAGAAATGTGCATATCGAAGGATAATATATTGAATTATTCGTATACAATTTTTTGTTCCTCTGTGAAAATTACGAATTTCTTCTTCTTTTTAATTTTTCACAAATAATTTCGATCATTGTTCTTGCGTCGAATATAATTCCTTAATAGCGTCGAATATTAAGGAATAAGAGTGTGCAACGCCAAAACTCGATTAAACGTTTAAAACTTACTTTCTCGGAGAGAAACTTTTGCTTGCGAGAAGTTAACTTGAAACAACTGTTGCTAATAAAGAATTTGCCAGAGGTTCTCTCGTTACTTGTATATCCCACTATAACGTGTTAAATATCTAAAGTATAAATTTGATTTGTGATTGAATATTTGAATATTTTCGTTTATAACCTTGTTCCATTGATTTTTGATCGATTTAAAATTATTTTGATTAGATTTTCTATTATTAATTATCAATCTAACATTGAATATTCATAAGAAAAAATAGAATAACGATTCTATATAAATTGTTTCTGATATGAGTAAAATGAGTAAAGTTAAAATGTATTTATAAAAATAAGTATTTTTTTAATCTTCAAAATCATTCTACACGAAGAGAGAACAATAAGAATTCGTAAAAAGCTTTTTATCTATCTATATTTTCCATTTTTAATGGAAACTATCTACAAATCAATACAAGATTTGAATCGCAGTCCTTTTCACGTTCCATCAACTTTCTTCGATGGGAAATATTCTCTAAAGCACGACACAAATCTGGCTTTACCTTTTTTTAAATCCAGAAAAATATGTTTGATTGACGCACATTTCTAAAGAATATTCCGTACGTATACAAATATCCGACATTCAATTTATACGTTCCAAAAAGATTTTAAAATGAATAAGAATTCTACTTGTTTTATCACCTTTTTCACACCTATGAAAATTAATTATCCGTGTATCCGTATACAAAAAATAATATGCATATTTAATATCCATATTATATTCATGTAATATAATTTAATTTTCATCATATATGAACTTATAATTATATTTTATAAATTAAAATTTTAATACCGAATCACAAAATTTTTTGATACAATTTTTAATCCAATATCTGCCACTGTTAATTTCGATGGATCTCGCATCAATTTTTCAAAATCCATTTTATACTCCAATCAGAGATTGAATTCCTATGTATTTTAAGGTTGTCGATGTTGTACCAGTATTTGTTATTGTTATTATATATTTGATAAAATTTTTTTTTTAATCCGATATCGCGTACGCATATTGATATTTTTATATTTATATATATCGTTATTTGACATCTATACTTATACGAATAATTTAAATCGATCATCTCATCGACATGATTCAATTGTATTAGAAAAATATAAAGAAAAAAATAATAAGTTCATTTTTGTATCGAATGAAAAGAAACGTTTCAAAAATAATAGAAAAATTATATTTTTAATTACTAATTGTTGTTATTTTTTCAATAAAATTTTGTAATTTTTAAAATCAATATTATTTAACTTGATTTATTAGTTGATTGACAAACTGAATGTTATTCTTCACTTGTATTCAAATAAAATTTATTACCTTTTTATCAGAATATTGAACTGCCATTACTTGCTACATCTACCGTCAATTTACATTCCAAACGAAAGAATTTTATTTTCTTCGAACATTCTTCCACACTTCTTCCATTTCAAACAGAAAATATGCAACTTTAAAACGTCTCGTATTGAAATAATATTTTTGCTCAAAGGTGAAGAACATATAATTTTGTAACAATATTCGAATATCACTTTTGCAAATTTGATCTTGCTAGAAATATAAACAATAAATATATTAACATCTTTTACATATCAAGCAAAGATCAAGCTTCTAAGAAAAAGTTAAAGGAAAGAAAGAGAGAGAGAAAAAAAAAAGAAGAAAAAGAATCAGAGACGATCATAAATCCAACGATTATTCGTCGTCCGTCTTAGAAAAGGGAATAAAACGAGCATCGCCTTTGTCATTCTTTGGAATGCACTCGAAACTATCGTTTTATCCCAGATGAATGCTAGGGTTGAAAAAAGACGCTAGCTTCTGATGGATTCTCTCGCTCCACTGTCTTCCTCCTAAGGCGACCGGTATAGATTACAAAGGAACAGCTTGTAGGAATGTCGAGCTGGTTCCTCACCGGGTGAGAAATACCAACTCTTGAATTTCTTCTTCCCGTATCCGTGCATCGGTTCCCCGTGGAATAAACGACTTCATTTTCACGCGCTTCACAACAGGGTGTCGTTGTTCATCCACTTTGCAACAATTGTCGTTAACAACATTCTTATTTTACGCCAATCAAATGTACGTATGTACATACATTTTCGAAATCGATTTTATCCTTTGTTATCTTTCGTCCTCGTCGAGTTTCAGATTTCAAGAAAGCGTTGAAGTTATACTTCAATGATGAAATTATGAATCGATAGATTTGTACGTTTTTTCTCATTTAAATAGAATAATCTTCGATGATAATTTCGTTTGAATGAGTGCCGATAAAATTTTACTTTATTATTAAACGTGTGTTGTTCTACGTGTAAAACAATTTGTGTAACATTCATAATAATGATAATATTAATATTACATTACGTAACACGTTTCAATATCAATATTACAACTGTAACACAATATTCCCTAATAATGTTATTTCAATTGTGCAAGTGAACCGTGATAATAAGTCCCTCCCACGATACGATTTCCCACCCTGTATCCCAGAACAACAACAAACAACGCCAAACCCCGCCATAAAGAAAGTCAAACATCTCAAAGGGGCGATGCATGTACAGCAGCTAAAAAGAAAGCCGAAAAAGAAACATATGGAGTAAAACTATGCGAATATTTAACGTGCGAGACAAAGAGGGGTAAAAACAAGAAGGAGGGAAGAAATAGAAGAGGAGAGGAAATTCTAAGAGGGAAAATTCTGGATGGTGGAAAAAGAAACTCAAGGGAAGCAAGCTGGAGAAGAGTAAGAATAATAGAGTTCGTGTTGAAGAAGAGAAGGGGTCGAAAAAAAGGGGTTGCATAAGGGTTAAAGCAAATTTATCGTTAATAATTATCTTTTAAGAACGAAGGATTTAAGTTAATTGTGGTCTGGACAACGAGTTCCATCTGTCTTATGAATATTTTATAACAGTTGGATTGTAAAATTTATTTTCTTAGAAATATGTATATTTAGTAGTAAATTATCAAATATGAAAAAAGTAATTCTAATTGAAATTGAAGAACCATCTTCTCCAATATTATTGTTTTATATCCAAACTTAATCAAATCATCTCTTTTTCGATATATCTTCTTTAATATAACCAATAACAACAGAAGATAATTTTAAAAATTAATAATTCAAGGGGAAACATTTCGTTCGTACATATCCATTCCCAATCCAAATACACTTAAAACAGCAATAAGGCCGGTAATGCATTCTTCTTTCTTGAAACGGGAGAATTCCTTTCGAATCATCGAACAAAATAACTCTACTACCCTACTACACCCTCCCCTCCCCTTCCCCATTGACATCCACCCTCTGCAGAAACATTTACCAGAAATGTTGCCGGGAAACGAAACCAAACTTTCCGCCCGAACCATTCATTCGACGGTACAAAAATTAGCATCCCGTGTTTCCACATGGAACACGTTCGCGCCAGTAACCCAGTTTCGCATTCATCCCGAAATCCTGGCTGGATGTACGAAACGAAAGCAACCAGAGAAGGTAGAGAAAGAGAGAGAGAGAGAGAGAGAGAGTTTTTAAAAACCATCAACCCAACGACAAACCACGAGGACGAATCGGCTGGTGGCCAGCGTTAATTACCCTTTAATTATCCTTGGTCGAGCATGGTCATTAAGTTATACAGAAATAGAGGATAAGAGGTGGGTGGGTCTCCTCGGTTTTTCTCTCTTCTCTCTCTTCTCTCTCTCTCTCTCTCTCTCTCTCTCTCTCTCTCTCTCTCTCTCTCTCTTTCTCTCTCTGCGAACACGTCCCTCCGCATTTTCTTGGCTCGAGGAAACCTGGGGGTTGACAGCGTTCGAGGGGGGAAAGGGATGGGGGGATTTTAAACGGTTCTTAATTTAATTTTAAGTAGATTCGGATCCCTTTCCAGCGGTGGTAATGGCGCCTACCGGGATTTAATCGTGCCGCCTCAAGGAAATAATTGTGGAAACTGAAGAGCGGAAGTTTTGCCCTTGCTCGAAATCGATCT